TTCTACTTCTACTTCTACTACCTCAATAAAAATGACAATCTATAAATATGCAAATCTTGTTCATTTATAAAGTTTTCCTGCTGGACACAAGATGTCTCCTGCTCCACTGTAAAGTCTATTTTCAATGTTTGTGCACCGGTGGCTTCATGTTTCTACACCACACTTGTAAACGTAAGTTGAATATTGGACCAGGGTTGACTTTTAAAATATTTGTGATCAAATCATGCCTGTTGGCCACGCCCCTTAAAATCAGACTTTCAGTGAGCACAGACAAACTTTCCACTCTCAGCAGATGAATGTGAAAATATCCTTCTAGTGTCAAACTCTGCACATAAATCCTTCAGCACAGTGGAGCTCAAACATCCAGCTGTAGCAACAAGAACAAAAACATATTTTTGAGTGCAAGGTGTCTTTAAAACTGGTGAAATAGACTTAAAAAAAACCTACACAGAAGTTTTACAGAGCAGACTGTTTCCTAGAAACCAAAATCCTGCCATACTTTGGACATCAGCGAAGCATCGACACCAAATCTTCAGGTTGCTTTCCTCTGCCATGCGTGAAATTGTGAAATGCAGCGTTTGTACTTTTCAGTGCTGAATAGGGTTTTATTCTTTCAGAAGAATAAGAGTAAAGAAAAAGTGTTCAATGAAGTGTTTAATGAAGAACAAAGTACTATCTTCCCTTCAGAGGAGAACACATTCAATGTCCTGGTGGACTGGAGATTATGTCAGTGCAGAGCTTCATTAATAAAAAAAAACATGTCATTAGCCTTTAGTCTTTTCAAATACATTACTGAAGTGATTTAGTGGCATCTAGCAGTGTAGTTGCAGATTGAGACTCCCTCACTTCACCCTCCCTTTCCGAGCACAGAGGAGAAATCGTGAAATTCCTTGAAAATCGGGACGCCCCATCTAGAGGCAGTGTTTGGTGTGTTCAACATGGCGAACTTTATGGAAGGCGACCAATGACGTCTGTAGTTCAAACAGTTCATTCTAATGTACCAGATACATAACGATTCCTATTTTCAGGTGATTAAACACTAATGAAATCATGGTTATGAATATTATATACCATTTCTGCCAATAGATCCTCTTAAATGTTACACGCTGGGCCTTTAATATTTGACGCAATGAATGAATGATTACGCCAGTAATAATAATGAACAAAGAAAAATACATGAGCAAGTCAGGGAGGAGAGGAGAGTCGGGACAACACAGCTTCACTCTGATGATCCAAGAATAGAAACACCTCAAACATTCATTATTACAGGAGGATGTGGCTGTGGCAGTGCATTTGTGCTGGTTTTACAATTCCATAGGAGGGAAGCAGACAGCAGACACAACTTGGTCTATTTTTGGAAGGGACTTGTCAAACAGGAGCACAGCGGGAGTCTCTTTTACCCTCTGGAAACTTCAGATGGGACCACACGAGCACGAGCAAATGTGCTCACAGGCACAGAAGAGACACACAAGAGACACAGCTGAGACTGTGGGAACAACGATTTTGGTTCCTTCATTTGGTCAGAGAACCAAAGAACACTTTAGGACCTCTGTTTCTGCCACATAACTGTTCAATTGAGCGTCACACTCCACATGTGAAAAATCAGGCCTTTTCTCTCACCTTCAGTGATATCATTGAGAGAGGAACTTCAATAAGAGAGGGTGGCTAACAGCTTTTCTTTGACATTTACCTAACAGACTGTTACTTTACTTAATTTGAACAGACCCACCACTTATACAGCCATCTATCCTCTACACTTATACAGCAGCTACATGACAGGAAATAAAGCAATGGGCTGAGAAAAAAAAAAAGACCCTGCACAATTCTCCAGCTGACCAAATGCTGCTGTAACCCGTGTAACCTGTTGTAAGTCAATTTAGGGCTTACTGTGCATGTAACAATGTAGTATGACTCCCATAGGAAAATTCTTTTTTCCCCGCTGCGCCTCCACACAGTGGTCAAAGGTTGGGGTCGATTAAAGAACAGCCTCCCTGCAGACGGTGGGGATTCAGTGTATTGCTCAAAGACACCACAGCGGGGTGTGGATGCTTGGGGGCTTGAACCCACCGCCCTGATGCCACATTACCCCAGTGTGACAGCTCTAGTACATGACAATAAGAACTTTCTAGGAAAGCTCATTCAGCGGTAAAGTCTGCTGGTTTGTGGATGTATCTCTCATCAGCTGTGTGTATCTCTACCACAGACACACCAGTGTCTGAACACATGAACTGCTTGGATTATCTGTGATTTAATTAGCTAATATGCTCACATCGTCCTTGGATATATCAACAAGTTCCTTAAGTGTCTACTGCCGTGTGAGGCTGTGCTTTCATCTTAATCCTAATTAATACCTAACTTATACAGAAACTTATGCTGCTACTCCTACATATACATAGTAGACTCCCATATTGTATATTGTGTACTTTATATTTTATTGTCTATCTTTTTAGTATTAGTAAATGACTATCTGTTGCCTGTGCACTTTATCTGTTTCATCGTGGGAGAGTGAGATTCCTTTGTATATCTGGTGCATGTGAAGAAATTGACATTAAAGCTGACTTTGACTTTGACTTTATTGCTAACATCGGCATTGTAACAAGCTCACACCAACAATGCTAACATTCTGATGTTTGGCAGCTGGGATGTTTACCATCTTACTTTAGTGTGTTAGCATGCTAACATTTGCACAAAGTAGTAAAGCACAGTTAGTTTGATCAGCTGAGGCTGATGGGAATTTTGACCTGATGATGGCGCTAAAATAGGAAAAGTCAGGGGATTCCAGTCATTAGGGTATATCGACTGAGAACCATGAATGTCTGCACAAAATCTGCACCAATACACCTTGTAGATGAGATATTTCAGCTGAATATGTGAAACCATAGTGGTATTAATGTCTCTGCAAATTCCTCTGCAGCCCATCCAATAATTGTTGAGATATTCCAGTCTGGACCGAAATGGTGGACTGACCGACTGACCAACCAATGGAAATTAAAAAGCTGCTAGTGCTGCTAACAAGGGGGGTAAAACAAATACATGTTCAACTGTAGTCCTCTATTTAAACAAAGGATTTGTATTCAAAGGGTTTACACCAACATTGGGGGAGACAGAGTGCAGGAAGTGGAGATGAATGGTTTTTCTGAGGACTATGTTAATCTTCTTTAATTGTCCCATCTGGAAGTCTGCTCCCCTGCTTAGCCCACCTTCTGTTTATCAATAATTCAATATGTGACCAGACAGGGGGCCATGCCTGTTTGGCTGAATTATATGCTTACATTTACAAGACAAACCAGTATTAAATCTGGTTAATGTGAGTTTAATATGAAAAGAAAATGGAAAAATTACACACAAACCTCCCTTTCATTTTGCTGGGGTGAAAATATGGCCCACATGGGCCCTTGTTCCTGGATTTTACTTAACTTCAAATAAAACCACAACATCATAGATTAAGCTAGCTGACTTATCTTTTCTTATCTTTTTTTTCCACCACAGAAAAGATAGAGCTCTTCACAGATGAACTTAAATGACATGGATGGTTTCAGATGCAAGCCAGAGACAAACAGATCAGACTACCTCAAAAGTTTTTCAAACAAAAATGGAAACATCAGCTTAACAGAGCCTCTGCAGAGAGTTACAACAAAGTTGCTCCTCGGATTTCAGTTTTTAGAACATCTGTGGAATTCAATCCCCATCGCATGTGTCTGTGTGAATCAGTATTTGAGTGTATCTGGGTGCGTATCTCATGTCAGCGAGTGTGTTATTAAGTTACCAGAAAGTGTTAGAGGGCTAGGTCTCCTTGAGTACAATAGAAGCCATGGGGGAGATTGATGACTCATAGGATCTCAGGAGACAGAGCGGACGCACAGATCTGTGAGGAGACATGGACAATGGTGAAGGCTACAGATGGCGCCGCTCTGAAAAGGCTTCGAACGCGGGGTATAAACCTCCCACGGGGAAATGTATGGATGTCACGGCAAGACTCTAATTCGGTTGACATTGGTGTGTCCTATCTAGGAAGAGTCACTTTGGAACATAAAAACATCTAATCTTAAAGGTATATGGTGCTTCACCGGCTAAGGCTGAAACTAATCTGGAGAAAAGAGGACAGTATGTACTGAATGTACAGAACAATGAACAGTAACTGACATATCAGTGCATGCTGTTCTTTAGTCTCAGAGGTCAGCAGCAATGTTGAGCCCAGATGTATTCATCTCAGGCCTTCAAACAATCATGTCAGCGCGCAGTACAAGGTTGCTGCTTTGCAGGGGGTGAGAACCGTTTTCCAACAATAACACCTTGGGAAAAAAATCCTCAGGGGTTTAGGGTTAGAGAAAGAGACAGAAAAACACACAGGGTGAGAGAGGGAGAGAAAATGTACATGTATTTCAAACCTTTAGCATTAGAACAAATAATAATAATAAAAAAGATAATATCCTAGAGTCTATTGTTCTCATTTCTGTGATGACTTCTTCCCCTTGTTGCGATTGGTGTCCCAGATCTTCAGAAAAAAAAAAAAAAAACACCCATAACCCCAGAGAAAGCTTTCTGTCTTATAACCTCAAAGCCAAAGCTTTTAGGTGTGTCTTTATGTTTAAATAGGTCAGGTTGTTTGGCCGACCTGATTGAGGGAAATGTCTCTTGAAAACCAGCTGAAAGAACGAAACAAAAGACAGAAACTGCTAGAGGTGGGATTCCTCTGAGCACAGAGTGTGTGTGCGTGTGTGTGTTTGTTTGAGCATGCGTATTTCAGTAAAGATCAAATTCTTCCAGTGAGGAATCTGTCTAAGTGTATCTAAGCCTGGTGCCACAGTTTCTGCAGGTCACTCTTTTTCCTTTATAATCAGCACACAAACGGGGGGCCTAATTACATTATGATTGTTAGTCTGTCACGTAACATGAAATCTAAGGAGTCAGAATGAAACTGAGACAGAAGGACAGAGGAGAGGAAAAAGGTGTTCAGGGATGCCCGGACTTGAAAATCCAGAGCAAAGATGGAGGATAGAGTACACTCAAAAAAGTGAACTCTGTGAGTTGTTGAATTAAATAAATGATCCTATATTACATTTAATTAACATTTCTGTGTTTGGTTTTAAAACCAAGTCCACTTTAATAAGTTTAACTTAAAATGAAAACTTCTCAAAGCAAAAGAAGCCAGCTAAGTAAATTCAACATAACACTGTTGAGTGAATTGCACAATCAAACTAAGAATGCTCTAGATGGCTTTCTGCGCATGCTCAGAAGCTGATTCCACAAACTCCACTGTTGCTGTGTGCAAATTGGCGGGCGAATGTGTTCTCGGTCAAGATCTTACCCTGCTTTCATCAAATGACATATCTCTGTCTGAGTAAGTATATTTTTTGATGTTGGAACATTTGTGGATGGTTAGAGAGTGATATTGGTGGTGCTACTTTACTTGTCTTTCGAAAATCTAGCATATATGAGCACATTTTAGCTCATGCTAGCTCGCTAACAAGCTAGCCAATTAACAAAATGCCATATGACAGACATACATTAAAATAACAATTTAACTCTGGAATTCTAGTTTAGCATCTCACCAAATGCAACGTTACATTGGTTTAGTTTTAATGGCATTTATTTTTTTTTTTTGTTAACAATTCATTGTATGGGCAGCAGAGCTCCTGGTAGCAAGGTAAGGTGACCTTAAAAATTGTGTTGGTGGTTTACAAGTTTGGGACCATAAGTTTTTTTAACAGCTTAGTTAAAAACAGTGTCATTAGCTTGTATTTAAGCTGCAGGCCAGCAGCTAATGGTAAGCTAGTTAAGTGACTTTTTTTTTTTTATGCTAGCGAGTGAGTGAGTGGGCGACCAAGAGTGAGGGAGCTCCGTCAGGACCGGTCAGGACAGACTGCGCTGATCACTCAGAACTGAGTCAGCATTTGCAAAGGAATATAGCTCTGTGTGTAAGTATATTATGGGCCAAATTTTGTGATAAAATAAACTATGCAGTCACAGTGCCTTTGAGGAAAACAGAGTTTGAAAAATACGTCAGATGTTGCTGTATGTTGTGACAGAAAAGTGACTTTTGGACCGTTGTTTAGCCTTAGCCTGAATGATAATACAAAGGAAATTTTAAACTAGTATGATTAGTTTTCCACCACTACGTAACTGTTGCTGCCTGCTTCAGAATTGGGGCAGACGCACAATAACGGTCTACTGGTTACCATTCTGCTTCTTTAGCCTTATGTTCTCACTACAGCTGTTTTGACACTACTGAACTACATAGCTGTTAAATGATTGGCTGTTTGCCTGTCTCTCATATCATTCAGGGATATGATAGGCTGTTTGAATGAGCAAGGCAGGGAGCACACGTCGGACTGTCAGATGATTGTACTGCAGGAGTTTTAAAAACATTACTCATGTAATATATTCCCAAATATTTTAGAAGAACATTTATTTCTGCATGTATATGTTTATGAATACAAAAGGCTCTTCTGTATCATTAATAATACATAACTAAATGTGGATGATAGAGTCCTGGAAAATGCATGAAAATATTGATAATATTACTAATGAATAGCCAATTATATATAAAACAAAGAATGCTTTCTTTACCACACCCAGAGCTGGTTATGTGTTGAATGATATATCACTTTCAGGTTTCAGTGCTATCCCAACTGTAAAACTAAACATGTGTTTGCTCTCAATATGTTCAAGTTATAACTGTTTGCTTATCATAAGTCTAACTGATATTAAATAGACTGTATTTATATTTTACAGGTCTTCCATACATTTGTGAGCTTGAGGACTGGACAGTCTGCATTTGTTTGTGGCTCTTCAGTAGTGGTAAGTACAGTTACGAAGTAATACATCCAGACTTAACCTTTAAGTATCCACAGATGTTCAAATCTAATACTGTATATGGGATAGTAATTATTTTTTTTTTTGGTTGTGTTTCATTTCCAGCATTATGAATGTGGAAGTGTAAAGAGTGTGCTGCAGAGGAAACGACAAGGTATCAGTTATTGAAGCACTATAGGTTAAAACATGGCCACTTTGGCCGCAAACACCCTTATCCATGCACATATTCAAATTGCCTGTGCACATTTAAAACTTGGAATGCACTGCGAAGTCACCTGGGTAGATCACATTTTGATCAGACCTCTCAAATATCAGTAGATTGCACAACATTCAACTGCCACCATTGTTCAAATAGCCACATTGCTTCATTGAAAGAATTTTTAACTCATGTTAATAGCCATCTAAAAAAACACGAAACTATATGTTGCATTTTTGAGAATTGTTCCTTTCAAACAAATATTTACGGAACATATCAAACCCACAAGAACAGAAAACACAGGACATATACACTGAATGATTTAAAAGCTGGAATTGTGAAAAATGCCACAGCAGATTCATTAAATTGTTCTTTTGGAGGATCTTCACCCAAAGGTGAAAATTAGAATTATGAATTTATTAAATGCAAGGTGAACTGTCTTTATTCATGTGATGTAATTTTCCAGAAAAGCATTGTGTCAAATTTGTTGTACTGCAAGCATGTGGTGGTCATTGGAACTGGGTAACAGAATCATATCTGTGAAAATTATAACTTTTGGGAAAAATAACTAAGGGATATCCTTGTTGTAGTCCTATATTGCATTAATTTAATGATCCACACAATACCTGATCATGTGACAAAATTTTCATCTTAGGAAGTCACAATAACATTTCGTTAGTCCAGTAATTTGATTATTATTGCCTTTGAGCTGTATCGTGTTGATATTTTTATACTTTGTTAATTGTCTGTAGGTAGAAGCAGAGTTTACTCGCATCACCACTGTACCACTGAGATCGAAATTCATGCAACAGCTGGATCATCATTCTACACGGCTGATTACAATCTTCAAAAGAAAAGGAGGAGCAGCAGGGCGGAAAATAAGGACTATCATGGCAGACTTGGATAAGGTACTTTTTATTTAATTTATTTTTTATGATGAAGACGAACCAGCTGGCCACTGTAGGGCGGAAATTAGTAGTCTGACCAGTTTGGCTGAGCAGTGATGATCTGTAGTGGTAATTGCTGCACAATGCAATACCAATATAACTACTCTTACACACTTCCCTTGTTCTCTGCTGTAGAATGATGCTGTTGAAACAAGAAGAGCCTGTGTACTGAAAGCACTAATGGTTTACCTCAATGAAGACCCTGAAAATCTCATAAGAGAGTACATGGTAAGTATTTTGGCCTTTGGTTTCTACTGTACTTTCTCTCCAGAAACTGAAAATGTGATTGTTATTTTAGAAGTTTTTGACAAGTCTATCACACAGACGAATAAGATATCATGCAGGCTTAGGGTACACACACAAAACTTCTTAGCAGGCAGTTCCTTAGTGTCTTGGATCCAAACATGACATTTATGGACAACAAGAAAAATGCATCAGATTGCCTGACATTCTAACAGACAGAAAGATTTGGGACATGCTTCCATAGTAAAATTCCCTCATTGAAATCACATTAAAAGCAGTTTGTGAACTACTGTCTTAAGGTATTATTGGAGGCTGGATGGATAATAAATGGTGTGTATATTGTAACTGAAGGTGTATTTGTTCTGTTTTTGAGGATGTTGAAGACAACCAGGAGGCTATGGACCAGACAGTCCTGGGAATCTTTGCCATAAAGATGGAAGGTGCAGAGTCTACAGATGGCCTGGCAGATGTTGGAATAATCATTGAAGGTGTGGAAGTGCTCCATGACCTTGATAACACTGCAAATGCAGTCGCCATTTTGTTTGGCCTCATGTACTCACTGGACCTGAGCTATCCAACAAACCTGAAGTACACATTTGAGGTTCTGCAAAAACTTGTGATGGAACTAGATGGCAACAAACTTTCAACAAAGGCTCAAGTGCTAAAGAACAAACTATTTGAAGGAACATTTTAGAGTGTAGTGCTCCTGAGCAGCACAGAGGAAACTTGGAGGACAAATTCCATCCCAAACCATCTGGCAGAAAACTGATTTTTGGATCTGCATGTTGAACTGTGAACTGTGAAGAGTGGATCAGATGCACTAAATGTTTAACAGAGTTGAGAAAATGTTTACAAAAAGAGACAATAACAAACTTGAGAAACACAAATGAGAAGTCTGAATTCACGTCAGCTGCAGAAGTGGAGATCAACAATGTGAAATGGAGAGTGATGGGTGAATATTGAAAGTTGTAGCAAGGAGGATGAGAGAAACAAATCGAAATCGTGTTTATGGTGCTGTGATCAAACGTTGACCAAGTTCCTGTTCATAAGATTTGGTACTGTCTGTTGAAAATGTACGTTGGACTACTTTTTTTATTTTTCCTTTTTTTTCCTTTGTGATTTAATTTTAGAAAACACTGCACTGATTTGTTTGTTTTTTAACCCCTACAATGCTGAAGTGGCAGGGAGGAAAAGATCATTTTGAAGTATTTTTACTTGACATTTGTTCACCCTATTCATGTAGATGGTTCTACATGAATAGGATGGATCTTTAAAAAATCAGTATCTAATGTTTCATTGTACAGTGTTCAGTAATTGTGAGGGGAAAAAAGCCATGTTCATTCTGCCTGCTTCTTAAAGAATATAGCTTTAAGTTTTGGTTTGGTTTTGTAGGTCCTGTAAGAGATTTTTGTTTTCATTGGGCATTTTATACAAATTTAACTGTAAACAAAATTGAGTATTTTATAGCATAAAAAACATTTTAATATAAACATTTTTATTTAGAAATGGGGAAATAAAAATAAGCTATACATGTTGAAAAATGGTTTGTTTGATATGCAGGAGCAATTTTAAGGTATAACTCACGCAAATTCAAAGTTTGTGGTTTAAAATTTGTTTGTTTGTTTTGTTTGTGATTGTTGTAGTTTTCCATTGGCAATAAATAATATTTTTCACAGAACTAAGGTATTGTAATTTGAATTTACTTAACTACATTGTGTGGAAATTGTTGACATAACTAGGTTTAGTAAGTCCAACATTATTCACTAGCTTGATAACAATGAAAACTATGTAAGTACTGATTATTCAAGTCAGTTTAGTTGGAACTACAAGGGGTTGTTCAATTAGTGTTACTCAATGCAGCTGAGTTACACATAAATTAGTGAGTTAGGTCAGTGTAATGAATGCCTGTTTAGTTAGCTGAACACTGCCTGATCAATTAAGGCTAACTTGACCAGATAATATTGAAGTTACTTAATACAGTCTTGTTGGTTTCACATAAGTTCATTATTTTCTCTGTAATTATAGTATTAAATTAGTTTGAACACAACACAGTTTTGTGGAAATTGTTGACATAACTATATTAAGTACATTGAACAAATTATTTTTTTGAGTGTAGGGATTGTTCGGGGACACACACCTGCACCACAGCTTTGAAGAGGAGATGAAAGCATGTCCTCTAATTACAGCACTTTCGAACAACACACATATCACTACTTTACTCCTCTGGCCTGTGAGGTGTGTCTCACTCTCCCCCTCTTTTTATTTGTCATATCTCACATTACTGCCACCCTTGTGAGAAGTGATCCTTAAATTTGTGTTGTTCTGCTGTGCGATGAAGCGCGTACTGTATCTCAGCTTTGCTCCTGCGTGCGGTTAGTTGGTGAAATGTTCCCCCCGAATCTGAGTTTCGCCTAACAGGCTGGGACAGGAGAGGACGGGGGCAGTGAGGACTCCCGAACTGGCTCTTCTTTTCTTTTAGCACAATGCCTCTGATTGCTTTGTTTTTGCCTTAAACACATTTTAATAGATTCAATGGATTCATGAACTGTGTGCAGTCATGTTTAATGAAATGCCAGTGTGATAGAAGTAATTAGACGGCTGCATATTATTGTGAATATGTGCATTTATCACAATAAAGGGAGGCAACACTGCTTTGCAATGATGCATGTATAAGGACCCAAATGCTTCTGTATCCCCTAACACCAAACTCTAGAAATCCCCAATCCCCAAACTCGTGCCATTTTCCACCGACACAACGTAACAAGGCATAAGAGTTTCATCTTTTATTCACAAGAGCACTCATGATGAATTAAACAGACATTATCTAAGAGACTGTAAATTAGATAACATGTAAATCTCAATCTAAGCTGATATGTTGTTACCTGAAGTGTTCTGAAATGTCTTTTAAATGCCAGGAATAAGTCTATTAATATGAGAGTAGTCCGCACTGTATGGCCTTGTTGAAATCAGGGAGCAGCAACAGATGGGAAGCTGCTACACCTAGTGGAATTACGACAGAACCACAAGACCTTTAGGTTAGGGAACGACGGTTATGCACTGACATGCTGATTATGTCTCTTTCAAATCTAGCTACGAGTGATGATCTAATTCAGCTTTTGCACAGATTGAGCACTGTGGATTTTGTCCGCATCTTCATTGGAATCACGTCAAGAAGGAATCTTGGGAAGGAATCTATCCCGATATGAGTTCCTATTTGAAGCCTTCTCTTGGCCGAGGATATAAAGCTTGCATGACTTGAACCCCCATTACTCCTGCCTGTGAAACTCAGATTAGCTCAGTCAGTATTTAAATCATTTCTCAGAGCACATTTCCATAAAAATAATGTTATTCTTTGTCAAATTTGCATATTTTGCTGATTTGTATTCTTTTTGCGTGTTTTTATAATTATGTATTATCATTATAAGACCCAACCTCTCTTTTTCTTTAGCAGAGGTCAGCGGCTCCACACTGGGCTGTGATCATTTCTCCCACTAAGGTTTCACATTGAAAACATATGAAACTGGAGACTGGGGTTATTGGGCAATCAAAGCCATTAAAGACCTCACTATCAGCCTAATGCCAAGTTAATTTCAAAATGGAGGGAAGCAAATGGACTGTGAAATATGTGCTAATGGTAACAAGCTTTTCCCAAGTTTACAGAATGGGAGAGGAAGAGAGAGAGACCAAATAATGCCCTGTGCTGTTATCACAGAGTCTACACATATAATTTCACAGACTTTTGGCGTCAGAATTCAGTGACAAGGACAATTAAACCGGGGACTGCAAAGGGACAGCCTGGTATATAATGCTGTGTTACAAAGTTCACAGAGGGAGAGTTCATTTAAAGTATACAGTTTAAAAATACAACTCACATCAAACAAATAAATCTCAACCTCTGTGATATCCAAGAGCAATATGAAAACACATGTTTGCAATTAAGACAACGTGAGATGTACTATTTGCAGAAAACATTAGTTTTAAAACATAATTTCACATCTTTAGAGGAAATTTTGGCTGAATAAATGTTCATTAAAGAGTCCAACACCTCCTCACTTAGGCCACCCAGTTGAGCATCCACCCATACGTATGGTATGGGTGGATCCTAACTTTCTTACCCTCCATACAAGGCAGGTGCAGACAGTATTAAACCATGCTTTAAATCTGCAGTGTAAAGTGCTGAAGCAGATTAGTAAACTAAATAGTTTAGTGGTTCGACTAATATGTTATGGTTTGCCGCAAGGCCGCCCACAGCTTCCTTACTTCAAAGGTTCCTTCGTTAATGAACACAGAAACTCAGCATAAAGACTAAATTTAGTTTGAGCTGCAATGTGTAGGTGGTTTTCCTTGAAGAAAATTATGTTTTATTGTCCAAAGCTGCATTGGATTGCATTTTTCATTAAACTCAGCTTAAGAACACAATCACAACTCCATCTACATTAAATACACGTAGAGGGTTTAAGATTGCACTGAGAAAACTCTCGTTAGGCCTCAAAATGATTTACTGTTATTATGGAATGATAATGCGAAACACAAATGGGTTTATTTATAAATTAGTATGGCTCAACACACTCTAAACTAAAAAAAGTTTTTCTTTCTCAGCATATTTTCTTAAGCAATAAATCCAAATTAGAGCAGGCTAGGCAGAAAAAAGCAACCAGTCTGCACAGCACTAAACCATTTATGATCATGCTAAAAATCAAGTGTGCTGTATTGGTCTTCTTCAGAGAATGTTTTTTGATATGTCACAATAGTAAAACAACATGTGTAAATAATAAAACTGATGTCACAATGTCATGGTTTCTTACCATTTTCAGCAACACTGTAATGTCTGCTGTGAAAACAATAAGCCTGTGGAAAATGATGCTTGGGGTAGCTGCAATCCCAAAGGTGATCCATAACGCTAAATGTCAACAAAAAATCAATCTGGTGGAGCTCAGAGCTGTGAGAGAGGGGAGACCCCTTCTCTAGGACTGCAAATACAACACATATCAAGCATGTTTGTTTGAGATCTGCTTCAACAGGCTTCCCGGCGCCATCAGTGTGGCGATTTCTAACTGCTCTGAGCATTTGTGGAAAAGAAAAAACAAAATAACTCGGTAGAACAGAGAGCATCTTGATGGATGTGGAGTACACGAGAGGAGGCAGCTGAGAAGTCAGAAGGATCTGAAACAGTCATTAAAGGTTGTTTATCACTAGGCAACTGAGCAAGGTTTGTGGTGGTGAGCAGATCAACCACTATGCATGTATTCCACAAAGAGAACAAAACAGAGAGTTAACTAAAAGCTTTAATGTCAAACACATAAAATATTAACATTTAAAAATATGCATCATGATATAAATGAATCTGAGGGCTATCATAAATAAATGTGTGTCCTTTGGGAATGCTTTGGCTCTTAAGAAAATATGCACTTCACCAGGACAAAATGTCTCCCTGCAAATTCAAGGCTAACATGTGAAAAATAATATTCCCAATGCTGGAATCTTTGAGGAAATACAAGAGTAAAAACAAATAAACAAGGCTACAATTAATGGTATGCAGACCAATAATCAAATACACATGGTCTGATCAATACTCCATTCATTATCAGTGGCCGATGCTCAATCAGCGAAGCAAATAAGGCTCTTCAAGACTGCTGTATTCTTGTCCTTCCATAGAGGCACTTGAGAAAAATAAAAGGACATTTTGAAATTCTCCTTGAAGATCATGAAGCTTCAGCTCCTCTTCAGGTCCCTAACCAAGTCTTTTATAAAAGGTGCATGACTTCATAACAGAATCGTCCTCTTCTTTGTTGTTTTACAAGCATCCGGATCCACAGCATTTTGTCCATAAAGTGCTGCTTCCTCTCAGGAGAGGTGGAACAGGCTGTGCCCGACCTGCGAGGCATACATGGCCAGATGTGCAGCAGGGAGGACGGGGCTGCGGCCGAATGAGCAGCCCAGTCCGTAGAGTGCTGCTGATCCAGCCTGCAGGTTAACACTGAGGGGAAAACTGAAGGACGAGAAGCCTGGGTGGAACACAGCTTTGGGCCCGATGCCAGACGCTATTTTGAGTTTCTCCACCTCGGCCTCCTGAAGCCTCTTGGCTTTAGCTCGCCTGTTTTGAAACCAGATTTTGACCTGCGTCTCGGACAGCGACAGCGAGGAGGAGAACTCAGCACGCTCGGCGATGGACAGGTACTGCTTCTGACGAAACTTTCTCTCCAGGGTCAGGAGCTGCGTGGTTGTGAAGGGAGTGCGAGGCTTGCGGTTGGTTTTGTGCTTCCTCAAGGGGCAGACTGCTGGACTGAGCTGCCCTGGAGGACATGAGAAAAGTGTGAGGTGGAGTTAGATAAACAGTTATCGATTATTCAGTCAGATTGATTGAATTTTAATTTAAATTGTGATGAATTTATCAAGCAAAAATACTAAACCTGCCCTGATTGCAGCTATTTTCCATCATATATCAAAGTAAACTGATTATAATTAGGTTTTGGACAAGCTGATCATCACCTTAACCTCTAGGGAATAGTGATACTTGTCATTATTTTAGACTTAATGATTAATCTATCAATTATAAAATAATCTGATTAAAAACAGATTATTTTATAAAAAAAGAGATCATCAGGTGAAGCCCTAAACAGACTAAAAAAAATTACAATTTACCATTTAATCAAATTGTTTATTACTCAGCCTTTCATATGTGTATTCATTTACCTTTAAAACAATGACTGAACTTGTACATTTATTTATATATCTATTATACTTGTAAGACTGGATCCCTCCTTGGCTGATTTAAGCCACCCAAAGACGTAAATCGATTATGTAATCAACCCGCATTAATAAATCTTTCAAACATTAGGATCACTTACGGGGTGGCGTTGACATCTTAATGGGGCCGGGTATCCAGGACGCACAGCCGCCTCGTTCCGCTGGCTCTGATTTGATAGAGACTAACTGTTGGGTGAACTCATCCGGCCTGTGATGTTTGTTTAGAGAGTAATTTCCCTCCTTTCTGTCGGTCGCATCCAGCGGCCTCCGGTCCGACATGAGCGCCTCCACGCTGAAAGGAAGGCACGACACCTGCGCGCTGCGCTTCTTCAGCCGCGGTGGCTGCACATCCTCGTCTGTTGAACACTCGTCTCTGCAGTCTCCAGGGGAAGACATGCTTTCTTTCTTTCTTTTTTTTTGTTTTGAGAGGGGGGCCCGGGATCGATATCTAATTCCAATCCAGAAAACACATAACTTTTCCCCTTTTTTTTCTCACGGAGTGCAAACATGCGGCGTCCACACGTTGGGAAACTCTAAGCAAGTCGTTACAAAGTTGACAAAGTTGGTGTTGGGAAAACTTTGGGAGGTACTCTGAACTTTCAGCCAATGATGGGTCTTGATCCCGGGGGTTGGGGGAAGACTTGTGATTGGACAGTGTGTTTGGGGCAGCTCTGGACGGGGTCTCCGCGGTGCCACACCTCCCCCCAACTAGACAACCAAGTCAGCTGCACATCAGCCTCATTTAGCAGTAATTACGCAGGGAGAAGATTGTTCCTTTAAAATAGCTCACAGTACACAGTACAGTACATCGAAAAGCATGGGGAAATTGTCCTGCTTGATGTCCTGAATTATTGGAAAGGGTTTTCGGATGAGACAGTGGGCTGGTATTTTGTTGGGGGAAAAAAACCTACTAATATAAGTAAATCAATCCCCTGTCTGCTAAACTCTACTCCATCCTGCAATTAGGCTGGTAGATTGTCCTGGCTGTGTCTCCGAGCACCAGCAGCACATCTGAAGAGCTGCACTTCCACTTAACAAAAGCTGACAGAGCTCCTAACTCAAGCCCTAACTCGCACGACCTGACACACCAATTGTGGGGAGTAATCACAATGGTAATCAATAAGAATCATGGTGCTTTTAAACTTCAGATATCACTCTGCAGCAACCACACACTTAAATGTGAGAGTCAGTATGGGTTTTAGGCAGGCTTTAAAATGACTGTCATTACATTGTTATTATTAACACCTTGTAATTAGGTCTGTGGAATCCGGTTCTTTTAAGCAGGATTTAACGGTAATGATGGAAAATTGCTACCTTCCTGAGGTGTGTGGCGCCCGCTGCGATTAGTCCCAGTCTCTGCTCTGTCGGTGGAGACAGAGGCGTCTCGTGCCTGTTTGAAGCTCATACCTGTAGGGCTCCAGAGTATTAGGAAACATCATGAGAAGTACAACAGCAGCTCTAGCCTTCCTAAACATAGCCTCTAACCACTCACTGGTGGGATAAGGCCAAACGCAACGTCCTGAAAACCAGCCAAAGAGGGCATGGATGTTAAAATTGACATAGAGAGATGAACAGCAGAAGGTTTAATGTCATTCAGAGTGAGGTTTAATGCTTATTCAGTCGAGGAAAGACATGCACAGCAGCTGATGCAAAATTAATGTGCTTATTGCATGCTGTGTCCTTTAGGTTGCTCCCAGTTTCTATCTATACTTGGTGTCTGTCTCCGCGTCTGCTGTGTGTCTCTCTCGTATACAGATGCCCACGCATACAAAGGCCACCTGTGAGGTGACTGCAGTGTGCTGTCCAGAGCTCTGTGATCAGCCCTCAGAGAGACGATGTGCTCTCTGTAATCAGCGGGATTACAGTGGCATCAGGGGCTCGACTCCCCAGCGTCTCAACATCATTAGTCTCCGTATGAAGCAAAGTGCTCACACAGCGTGAGCTCACTCTCTTGTAAACAGATGCAAATCAATTATGGGACCAATCTGTCATTTCAGTGTGCTTCCTAAAGATGGGTGTATGGAGTGCACGGACACGTGGGTGTGAGTGTGTGTGCACATGTTTTGGAAATTTAAACAAAACTGAAGAATTTAGTTATCGGAAACATTTAGCTACAGGCTAATAACAACAACTACATTTCCATAGAATCCAATTAGCTGGAAAAATGGGGTAACAAACAGCAAGATAGTTTGTTTTAGGTGTATAATGGTACAAAGATGGGATTTTACGTTGTTTAATCGCCATTTACAAAGCAGGGTTCCATAAAGAAAAACAAAGAGGTTTAGTTCTCTTTATGCTACCCTGTTAAAACTAATATATATATATATATATATATATATGGTTTAAAATTGATTAATAAGTCATAAACACAACAAAATACTATTTAGCCTCACAACCTGAGGGAAGAAGCTGCCTGGTGGACCGGCAGCAGAAGCTTCTGTACCTCTTCCCAGATGGCAGCAGGGTGAGCGGGCTGTGACTGGGGTGTGTTCTGTCTTTTAGTATCCTTCAGGCGCTGCACGGGCACCTCGCCTCATTAATATCACTGATGTTGAGAAGTTAAGTACCAGTGATCTTCTGGGAGGTTTTAATCACTCGCTGCAGAGGCCTCTTGTCCTGGGCCGAGCACCTCCCATGCCAGTTTGAGATGTTTCAAGATGCTTTCTAACGCTCCTCTTAACAAGAACATGGCACAAAACCTTCGCTTGCTAAAGTTTCCTTAAGAAATAGTCTGTAAGTCAATAAATCTGAAAAAAACCTGATAACCTGCTTCATGTACTTTATAACATTGTTTTGAATCAGTAGTTAGCTAAAATACATTGCCTTCTTATTCAAAAAAAGAATATACTCTATAATTCAAACTCTGTCTCATCACGTAAAAGCAGTCAAAGCTAAAGTTAATCAAAGTATTGATGTGTTTGAGTTTAATTATCTAGTCTAATACACTTTCAGACAACAAGAAGCAGCCTGATTTTGAAATTTGAGTGAGATCCAGCAGTGCATAACATGCCCCCAATGATCTTCCACTAGTGTTATATGTCTTTGTAATCTTTCCTCCAGTAACCAGGCCCAAATAGCTCACTGCTGTCCACTGGTCTCTGCGCTGAGAGAGCTCCTGCACACACCGCTCCAATGTCTCCAACAGTACAATCTCTCCCATAGTGATCATAAACACTTTTATATTAAAATACATACGCTATTGGGAGGCTAAATCAATATATAAAAGTAATTATTGATACCTTTTATTAATTCTCTATTATCTTTACAGGATGCAGACATAAATCATGAGTCACGTGCTGCATATTCCTGAATACAAAATATTAGGCCTTTGTCCACAACTATTTGGAAAATATGCTAACCTTCCACACCATTTTTCTAAGTGAGGGTTACATCTACTTCAGCCTTAGCGTTGTTTCCAGGACAAGCGTCATCACGTTCAAGCACACTAAAATACTGCTACACAAAGCAACCCAGACTTTTTCACTATAGCCATCACAGGACAATCAAGACAGAATCAATATTTCATCTGGAGACAGTCAAACTAAACTACCCATAAAAACAGAAAGGCACAACCACGGACAACTTCAAGATAACTGATGTTTAATGTTGTTTTAAGTATAGAGTAAGATGAATTACAGCTAAAAGTAAAATGAGCTTTTAAGATGTTTTCCCAAAAGAGAGGAGTTTATTTGGGGTGCATTTTGGCCTGCAAGCCTTCAGATGAGTCCTGTGTTATGAGGCTGACACCCACCACTCCCAAAACTGTTTATTTACTTAAGCATTGTGGTGAGAGTGTGCTTTCTTAAACTGCAGTCTTGTTCTACATATTAATGCATGGGACCATGCCTCTCTACATCAACAGTCAAAAGCACAGAGAAGAAGAGTATAATCAGTTTTGCCCCCTAAAGCGGATTTAAATTAAATGTCACAAGTTGAACTCCGAGGATCCGTGGTGGGAACTGATTAGGCTTTTGCAAGTATAATTTTTCAGACGTTGCCTTCAAATGAAAATGATACAGGGATTTCGTCTAGCACTATCACAACGGAACTGAAACAAAAGTATTACCTCTGATGTATAGTACTGAATGCAAATATAATCAATGCAAAAGACAGAATATGTCTTTATTAGGGATGTAACAATATATCGCAGGGGAAAGGTAAATCACAATCCAAATATGTGAAGATTTAAAAATCAAACAAAATGAAACATCACAACAGCAGAGGGCGCTATCTACTTTTGACTTTGCTTGTCTGATGTTCTACGTCGCTCTATCAACGCGCAAAGACAGGGCAGCTGCAGGTGAAGACTGTGAAATTGAGGATGCATCATCCTTTTTAAAATCTGAGCTGTGGCAGCTGTTTGGCTTCAGAAAATGCAAAAGGTAAGAAGATAACTGACAAGACGTGGAAAAAGAAATGCGGCCGATTTTCCGTAGTTGACAACAGGTTTATATTTTCAGTTTCACCTTTACAAAGAAAAGGAAACATGCTTTGTTTTTCACAGTTTATACCCTTCCTCAGCAATAAAAAAGGATTCTTTAATTTGATAAAGAAAATACAAGATAAAATATATTTTGTAGATTTTTTTTTCTTCAATCTAATTTTGTTTAAAAAGTACATTTGGAGAATATTGAGAACCCAGTGTTGTGAATTGCATTGAATCGTGAGATGGGTGTATCATTACATCACTATTCTTTATTTTAATGTAAGTTGCGAGGACAAAGAGGAACCCAGCTTCGATCTGAGAGGGTAATTATCTCTTGAGATGCTGGAAGTGGTCAAACGTGTTTCTCATTATTGCTTCTTCAGGCCCCACAGTGAATGCAATCATTACTTCATGGTTAGTTGAAGGATCTTTCAGTGCTTCATTGTGTTTCGACACACTGTGAAGCAAGTGAGATTATAATATTCAAACAGCCAAAATAAATTAAACTAATCCCCAGACTGACGAAAGCACTGCAGCTACAGTAAATCCCCAACTCACCACAACAAATAACAGTTATTTAAATGTGCACGCGAAAGGGTATCTGAGTCTGGAAGCATGTCCAACCTTTTAACTTCAACCCACATTTACTGCAAGTTCAGAAATATGATCTCACAATGCATAATTTAAAACTTCTTCCTGAAAATGAGCCGAGGCTTCAGCAAGTCACACTTGTTTATCTTCACAAGACATTTAATACTAATAAATATCAGTCATCATATGATTAACATCACAAGTGATGGAAATATAACACACACAGCGACAGTGAGTAGATGTGCTGCAACTTCATATCACTGAACTCTTTCTCTTCCATGTGCAAATGTATAGCCATTACTACTGCATGAGCCAGTAAATGCATTATACCACCTAAATCCAATCCAAATGTACACTAATGAACACTGTTAGCCATGAAGGGAATCAGTGTGGTAAAACATGTAGACAGAAAGTAAAGTACAAGTAAACCTCGTCCTTATCTCCCTTTACACTTGAAAGCCACTTCTGTCTCTGACCCCCGTACACACAAACACAAGCACCATCTGCAGGGAGTGAGAGTGGCGCCTTTCTGCATGACTTCGCCAGCTCCTCCAGGCAGAGTGATTACACTGTAATGTAGTGACAACCAGGTGATCCACAGGTAAAACATCCCCCTTTACAAAACTACCTTGCCCTCATTTGTCATGGCTTGTGGAGACGGTTTTACAAAGGACAAAGTATTCACAATTACTATGCATTGAAATGTACAACCTCAGGCCAACAGAGTATTAAAATACAGGCAATGTCAGTATAAAACAGAACATTTTAACGTTATTATTTTTGTGGTAAAGACAGGCAGATGACATGCAGTGAAGGGCCGCAAGTTGGAATCGAACCTGAGCCGCTGCATTAAGGACTCAGCCTTAGTACATGGGGTGCATGCTCTACTAGGTGATCTACCAGGGTGCCACGCAAAAA